AAACATAAAATTATCAAATTCTTTCCCTGAGAAGTAACCCTTGCAAAATTACAAGAAAAATTAAAAATGAATGGTTCCAATTTTGTACTTTTTCTATCCCAGAATTATATTAAGGTAACAGAAATCAGTCAAGTGGCAATTAATATAAGTTGTGACATTTATGAGGCATTTATTAAAAACTATAACAGCGCAAATCTTTTCGAAAGCAGAACTGTGCCTTTTACTTTATTCTATGTAGTTTTCTTCCTTATCCCTACAAATCCCATTATACATTTCAAGAAATCATCTTACCCATTTAAATAAATACATCAAATTACTTAATTTTCCAACTGCATTAATAAATTTAAATAGCATTCAAGTCATATGATTGTCTGCTCATGACCAGCTGTTTTAAATTAGTGTATTAAGTAATTTAGACACTTTTCTTTGCAAAGGTTGCATGATTTAATAAATTCCCATATGCCTCAACATGTGCCAACACTACGAGGTTATCTTCAATCCAGCTGCTGTTATGATAATAGCTGCCAACTTTCAAACAACTGAAGAGAATAATGAATCAGCTTCAAGTTGGCTCATATGTACACTTATATTGCTCCCGGCTAAAACATAGGCCAATTTCAACTGTAAAGAAAATTAATTACAAAGACTTCACCTCTATGGTTTGGAAAACATGGCGTCACAAATACTGCTGAATTGGTAGTTTAAAAGCCGGAAGCTTCAGGTAAACTCCTGAAGTCTGGGTTTCACTCTGAAATAGGTTGTTTAGAGATTTGATTTTTTCATGAAACAGATGCGGGAATGCCTCGTCTCTAATGAATTACATGAATATTTGAGAAGTCTCACACTGTTGGAGAGAAAAAGAATAAATGAGACACTTATATGTTTAAAGGTTCATTACAAAAAAGGCTTCAAAGGCATCAGAGGAAACAAGATGCAAATGAAAAGGGCCACAATTACACAGGAGTTGAAAAGCTGAGAGAAAAAGTCAGGGTCATTTTATGAATACACACTAAGCATAACATGGCAGCATGAGGCCCTTTTTAAGGAGAGCAATATTGAACTGACCTTTAAAAAACATAATAAAAATTTTACCCTAGGTTAGTTATCTTGACCAGTGGTTCTATAGAAATCCTTGAAATACTGGTGCTTCTAACGAATGACTAATATATTTAACCAAATTCTATGTTTTTATAGCAAAGAGCACAAGCTATCAGAAGTGTGCTTAAAATACTTCATTTGTTTGTAAATAATCATCATAGTGGAAAATTATTTACAGGCTGGATGGACTTACCCAAGACGACAGGTAAAATTTTTACTAGAGAGCAAAGCTACGTACATTACACTGTGCTCACAAGAGTATGCTTGTACTAATCTTCAAAAATAATAAGATGAACTGGGCAAAATATGCAATTTTATGGTTCTGATGAACTACCCAAAACTCAGCAAGGAACACAGTAACATGACAACGCTAACTGTCGCAGCCCCTGGGAGCCCTGCCAGACACAAGCCACAAGCGGGAAGCCCTGGTGTGCCAGATCATCCAGGCTGGACAGTCAGTGCCTGCAAAGAGAGCTTGGTCAGTCCTGGGCTCTGAGATGGCAGAAGCAGAAGTTCCCTCGCCCTATTCTAGAGCAAGCTAGCCATGGGGCTCTGGAGCTCAAATTTGCCTGGTTCCCCACAGGAGGTAGGCCAGAAGGAAGGCCCGCAGGCTATGTATTGGGCCAGGGTGATGGGCTCTAAGTGCCTCCAGCCACGGCTCCCCTGTGCCCACCAACAAAGAGTCTGCCCTGACCTCAGTGTAATCAGGTCTGGAAAGGCGGCCAGGGTGTCAGTTTTGAATGTGGCACCAGGATGGGAGATGGACAGATCCGGCACAAGCTGTATTGAGTACACTCAAAGTTTTATTAGACTATTGAGAAGTGATATGGGCCAAACTGATTGGTGCTTGATGAGCACCTATACAGCAGCTTAAAAGGCAGCATGCCTCAAGAGGATATAAGCTGGAAGAATTTCTAGCTGATTCATGCATCAGATGGCTTCAGAAGAGAGGAACTTAGCAGACTGCTGCAGACTCACTCATGAGACCCTCACAGAGTCATCAGGACTTCAGGAAATTCTTAGATCTTCAGAGACCTGGCAGCTATAGCTGCCTCCTGCTCAGCTTCTACTAACACCTATATAGGGCACTGGTGATACTGGTGATATGGGCCTCATGTCTCTAAGAGATCTCTTTGCTGTTGGCTTATGCTAACAACTCTCAAAGAGTTGTCATACTGGTGTCTCTGGCTCCAGCATGGCTCACTGGTGACAGCAATGCTGACCTGTGTCTGGCCACCTCTGAGTGCTGTTCACTACTTCAAATCCTCCAGCACCACCTCCTGGCACTATTCACCTGGCACTGGACAGTCTGGAGTCCAGCGGTATCCAGTTTGGCTATCAGACTGTTGCAGTGAGTGGTTATGGTATCACCTCAACAGCCCCACCGGTGATCACTTCCAGCTGCCACCATGCGCTGGATCTGGCCTGCTAAGTACCAGTCAAACAGCAGCTCCTGGCTTCTCAATTGAAGGGACAGCACTATCTTACAGGAGCATCCTTTGTTTTGAACACCGCAAACACTATCTGGGGTAGGACAGCTGACCATCTGTGGCTTTAGAAATGCTTCCTTTTTTCCTATTTTAATAGATCCCATTATTGTTGTATCCTAACCCTATATGGCTAAGGATAGAAGCCTGTGTCTTGCAACTGAATACATTTGTGAGAACCCACAATGATCTGCCCTAAAAAACAGTGACCTGCCCCCTTGTTTAGTAATGATAATGTGATTTCTTCTTTTTTCATCTGCAATTTTTCTCATTCATCTGTTTATCTACCTACCTACCTAACAGGTGTGTCGTATTGGCTATTTTCTCTACTTCTGAATATACCTTACGTACGATCCAAGGTGAAATTGTATACCAGTGTTGTTTCTACCCTCATTGCATGGACTCACTTTAAGGGTTACTTAGAAAACCACAAAATCCCCCCCAAAATAGCAAAACAACTCCTGGAGGCTTTCAATAAGCTGGAATAGTTCCAGAACAGATATATGGATGTCTCAGAACCCAAAGAAAGGACACTAACTTCAGCTTGTATATAAAGGCAACAGACTATTATATAATACCTAGATGTGATTATCTTTTGACTTCCATAGAGCTTGCTGATGTTACCTGTTTGAACTATTGAAACTATTCAAGCAGCAACAGATAAAACAGGTCTATCTTTGAAACAACATAAAAGGCCAGACCTTGTGAAACTGTTGCCCAGTGAAGCAGCCACAGTAATTCTCTAAACAATGGAGTCAGCATTACCCCAACAGAAGAACAGGAGATGTGTTGAGTCCTTATCCTCCCCGAATCAAATTAAGGCAACTATTTGGACAGTGTTCTGCTCTATTCTGCACAACAGGTTACATGTCAACACTTGGCAACATCTTGTGCAACAGGTACAAGATTTGTACATTATTAGTTACTGCTCAAGTGAGCAAGAAGACACTACACAGACATAACAATTTATTTTCAATTTTGAAAACATTCCATTCACCAGTGCCAGTGTGCCCAAAGTCATCTCACATGAGGGTAATTTACCTACAGTGAGGTGAAATACATGGCAAATGGGGCTAAAGACCAACAACAGACATTCAACATAAAAATCCTTCATCTTAATCTTTAACCTGACTTCTTTTCAAGATCAGAAAAGCATTAGAAATGGAAGAGATCTGTTACTATTCTGTGTTCTGCTTTGAAAGCTGAAGGTACATAATGACTATAATTATGAAATCCTCAAATAAACACATCTTCTACTCAATGATTTGAATATTTCAACAATTAGCTGTATCTTCTGAATCCACACTTACTGGCTATATTGTGTGGTTAGGACAATCAAGAAATTGTCCTGGAGGTGAAAAAATTAGACACATGAAGGAAAGATGGGGAAGGAAGGAGAAAGCAAACAGAAGAAAAACATTAGAAAAGCCTTGTATGTATTCAGAGTTAGTGACTAAATGAAAGTGGAAAAAATAATTGCTTACAATTTGAATAAAGCAATCATAACCATGTAGTAGCTTGACATGGTACAAAACGCATAATTATAAATAAGAAGATGGAAATAAAAAGTTGTATCTTAATTAAGAAAAACAAGAGAGGAAAAAAATGATGGGAAGTAGGGAGACCTGCACCACAAATCCGACGAGATAAATGACAGCCCCCAAGGGAGAACAGTGACCTATCCTTGGAAGGTTCTGGATAAGCTGGCCACCACATTATTTCCTGCCTTGTATAATCACAGCAAGCATTGCAGTGTTTGGTACTGATGAGAAGTAGGATTCTGAAAAACGTAATTATGGGCTGCAAGTGTTTTCTGTGGAAACAAAATTACCATTCATGTTTGAGATTGTGTAAATATGCCTTAATTTTGGTCAATAGCAATTTGAACTTTAAAACACAGTATCCCAAAAGCTCTTTATAAATCACAATTCTTCAAGTAAACTATAGGGATCAGTGTGTAAAAAGCAAGAGATGTCCAGATACTCTTCAAAAAATGCGATTTAGTAGAAAATTATCTACTATGTAGTGACACAATATGGCCTCTCTCCATGTCCAAACCAGCCTACAACTTCAAAAAGCCACATTAAAGGAGGCTGAAGCAGCACAGAGCTGAAGCTGTATTCATCTACTGGTCAGGTGTAAAACCAATCATGATATCAAATGCACATTACCTTAGAAAAAGTGGCAGCCTTGAAAAATTAATGGTATGGCACGCACAGATGGAACATGGATACAAAATGAGGAGAGAGAAGAAACCACATCAAGGGTATCTAAGGAAACTTAAAGGCTTTGAAAGCTTCGAAAGTCTCGCCTTTCCTCTGGTACCTTTAATTGTGGCTACAGTAAGTGCATTTTTGCCACATGCTTTTGAAAGAAAAAAGAAATGGTTATTTTCTTAAGTGCTAACAGACTTACTTTTCTTTCAGAAAATCCACTACTCTTTTGAAGTCAGCCACGCAGTATTCTCTTTTCATTTCCATGAGTACCGAGTCTGAGGCAGACTGGACTGGTATGTGCAGAAAAGCGTAGACTCGGGGATGATTAAGGATTTTCGCCATTTCCTTGAAAAAAAGGGTAAGGAGAAAACATTCATCATCTTAACAAATCAGGGAATGGTTTCCCTCAGATCAACACTCACAGGGCAAGCAAGTACACATGACCGAGGCCATACCAACTATCTAGGCCCTTAAAGTGAATGTCAGCTGGCAATTGCTTGGTGACACCAGGACTTTCAAAGGACTCCTGGAAGGTTATCTCCTCATGTTAGTCATCTCTTCCTTGGGTAACAAAACAGAGATCATCTCCTGCAATGCCTAATGAAT